GGGGCCCTTGGGAAGGTGCCCCAAAAGGGGGGGGGGGGGTCCCAGCCCCGGGGCAGCGGCAGCCCTGGCTCGGGGGGAGATGAGGGGATCAGCTGTACTGACAGGGCAGCTGCAGAGTCCCTTCCTGCTGCTCCGCTGCCCTGGATCACAATATATTCGTTCCGTGTGTCCGTTCCTGCTCCCTGCTGGGGGGCACTTTGCTCCCGAGAAGAGCAGCAGCCTCAGGAATGAGAAGTTGGAGAAGCAAAGCGAGCTGCGAGTGCGGAGTGGGTGCGCGGGGTCCCCAGCGGTGCCTCTGATGAGAGAGACCTGTTTTATGAGACTGCATCATCTTCCCACCTTGCTCTTCTCTGCATCGAACAGCAGACCTGAGGCTTTCTGGAATATTCTCCTCGGCACCTCAGTAGTCGATCCCCCTTTTAAGTGGGTCCTGCACACGTTTACCGCTTGCACAGCCTTCGTTTTCCGTGACATCATCTCGATGGCGGAGGTGCAAAGAGCTCATTTCAGAGAAATGTTTAACCGAACAAGAAAACCTCTTCTCGTGGTCTCAGGTTTGGTAAAGGTATTTCAGGGAACAACAAAGTTTAAAGAATACGTCACCACAGAGAGTTTTGTTTGCTGTTTTGACAGAACAGGTACCATTTTGGGAGTTTAAAATGCCAAGTGTTTCGGAGGTTTGTGTGGGGCTTTTATCATTCTTCCTGACGTTTTTATAATACATTAAAGTGGGTGCTCGTAGGTCATAATGAGAGAAACCAGAGAAAACATCAGATGCTGAAAAAACTTTCATTTCTGATGTTGTTCAGTTTTCTTTTGTCCAGGTCTGGATGAGGCCACTGGTGCTATTTGCATTGCAGGCAGTTAAGGGAAGTGTTTAAAGCCAAGCACAGAACTGGTTTCACTAAAATAAACCAGCCTGCTTTTGGTTTCGGATTCAGTAACTGATCGGAGAAGTTTTGAAATGGTTTCATTTCGATCGTCGTATAATATTTATGAAATTATCTTAATGACATGTTAATACTTAATAGCATTCCTTGTATTTACAGCCACAGCTCTGCACAGTCTCCTATTCCACAAGCTGCACAGTTGGCAACGCGGTGAAAAAAGTGTCAAGGATCCTTTTTTGTTTTCTTTTCTTTTCTTTTCTTTTCAGTACTATGGAACCTGGTCTTCAGAAAAAGTCAAGTCGAGAGTCACAGAAGTAATATTCAGTTGGACAGTCTGGTTTCCTCAGGAAGTTAAAATCCGGGATGTGTATCAGATGCTGAAGAAACAAGGTCGAGTTCTGTTATTGCAGTTTCCTTTTCAGCCTCCCAGTCAGGCGGTCTCAGCCCACGGGGGTATCTGTCCTCCCCGCTTTTCCGTGCAACGCTGTGTGTCAGGAGCAGGGCACACGGGGCACGCACAGGGCTACTTGGGCACTTCAGGATGTGCAAAGCTGTTGAAAAGCTGTTTTCCAAAGAACAGCCGTGTCAGTCGGAGGCGAGGCTGCCTCCCGGCTCCGCTCACACCGCGCTCAGCGCTGCTGCGCAGGGCAGAGATCGGGACAGGCTCGGAGTGATCCGTGCCCTGGAATGCTCTCCCAGGGTTGCGAGGGATGGGTTCAGAGAGATCCCGAGCTGGATTTTTCATCTGTTCTATCCTATTTAATAGTCCTTGCTGCTATTGTCACCCCGAAATCTGTCCAATCCCACTTCGGTATCCCAGGTAATAAGTTTCATAACTAAGAAAAAGCCGTAACACTTTCTGTGGAAGTTCAGGGGAATTAGGGAATTTGTTTCAAGGCTTCCCACCAGGTTTGCTTTGTGCATCCTGGAGCACGGAATGGCTTTGCAAGCCTTCCCCTGAGTCCCACTCCCTCACTGTCACTGCCTTCCCCTTGTGCAGCTGCTGCGGGCAGGGGTGCTGGGCTGGGG